TCCTTCAGTATCGCGGTGATTCTCTGCTCTCAGACATGCTGCTGTTTGACTGAATGTCAACAGATGGAGGATAGAAGTAACAGCAGCAGTCACAGACCAACACAAACCTAGACAGGGTGACACAGATTGACACAAACCGACGAAGACCAACACAAAATACACATCAACACAAACCAACACAGACCATTTAGCCCGTAGGTGTCAAACTCTGGCCCGTGGGGCAATTTTGGCCCTCCACATCATTTTGTGTGGCCCGTGAGAGATGTGTGTTTCCTCATCTGAAAAATGAATAGGACTTACCTGATATAATATAACATAATATAATGTTATAATTGATGTTATAATAACAGCAATGTGCCGACACATGGCTCCAGTCTGCGACCAAAATGTTCTCATATGTGACCATTTTTAAGCGTGTGTGAGCTAAAGTTTCACGTGGTCGCGTTGTGCAAGTGAATGATGATTGTCAGACTGATCTGGTTCCTTCCGTAGGCACAGTTGCACCACTTGTGGTTGGAAATAGTCATATTTCTTCCACACTGACTCAGTCTCTCTCTGCCTGGTGGGTAAAACAGTCAGTTTCGCTGTTACCGTGTTCCAAGAAAGCGATATAGAGATTATGTTAAAAAAAACAACAAAAAAAAAAACACACACACACACACACACACACAGCGAGGTGAGAGAGGGAGAGGCAGCAATCACAGTTCTGACTCTACAAACATGATGGCCAGTGCTATGGACATTTAAAATGCGCTCAGCTCGTAGAAAAGTCAGGTCATAAAAACTTCTTTGTGTAGAACGCGCTTTCCACTGTTTTCCAACAAATGTTTGGTTGCTCACCTGTCAGAGGAGCAGACACCTGGTAGCATCCACCAGAGCAGCATGTGAGACGTTTAGGGAACATCGGTAAAATGTACCATCAACTCATGCACATGGTCAGCAATTGTTTAGCCTGTGCCCAGTTCATGAGTGATATCAGAACAGGACTGGTGACAAAATAAATATATACATTACCGGTCAAAAGTTTTAGAACACCCTAATTTTTCCAGTTATTTATTGCAATTCAAGTTGTGCTAGTCCAATGAATAGCTTGAAATGGTACAAATGTAAGGACTGGACAACCAGAGGTTAAAAAAAAAAACAGGTTTGCTTACAAAAAATGAAAAATAATGTACATTTCAGAATTATACAAAAAGGCCTTTTTCAGGAAACACAGAGTGGGTTAACAATTTAAAGCTGTTCTGCAGCAATGAAGGTTGAAACAGCCTTGAAAGCTGGTGCTACTAATTCCTACAGGTGTTCCAACTTTTCTTGATTACATACAACTCTCTCTGTCTGCATAAAAGTATTGTTGGAACATACTGTAGTACCAGACCCTCATGAGCATCAGCTGAACAGTGCTGAACTGCAGAAAGTCATGTGTTGCTACAAAAATGGCAAGAAAAAGGCAATTAACAATGGAAGAGAGACAGACCATCATAACACTTAAAGATGGAGGTCTTTCCTTCAGGGAAATTGCAAAGAAAGTCAAGGTGTCAGTGAGAACAATTTTCTTCACCATCAAAAGGCACTCAGAAACTGGGGGAAGCTCTGACAGGAAGTGGTCTAGCAGACCCAAAGCCACAACTGAATCAGAACACGTTTCTGAGAGTTAACGGCTTGCGTAATAGGCGGCTCACAGAACAACAGCTTCATACTGGTTGTAGTAAGGAAGTCTCATTTTCAACTGTGAAGAGAAGTCTTCGAGCTGCAGGTTTGATAGGATGAGTTGCAGCAAGAAAGCCACTGCTGAGACGTCAGAATAAGACAAAGAAGCTCTCCTGGGCCACGAAACACCGCCATTGGACTACTGAAGACTGGAAGAAGGTATTATGGACTGAGGACTCAAAATTTCAAATCTTCGGTTCATCACGCAGGATCTTTGTACGTCGTCAGGTAGGCGAGAGGATGGTTCCACCGTGTGTGACATCAACTGTCAAACATGGAGGAGGGAGTGTGATGGTCTGGGGCTGTTTTGCTGGATCCAGGGTCAGTGACTTGTACAGAGTGAGAGGCACCCTGAACCAAAGCAGCTACCACAGCATTCTGCAGCGCCATGCAATACCCTCTGGTATGCGCCTGGTTGGTCAGAGGTTCATCCTACAGCAAGATAATGACCCAAAACACAAGTCCAAGCTAGTCCAAGTGGCCAGCACTTAAAGTCCATTGAGCTGGTTTGGGATGAACTAGACAGAAGAGTGAAAACCAAGCAGCCTACAAGTGCCACACAGTTATGGGAACTTCTGCAACAGACTTGGGAAGAACTTTCTGAAGAATATTTGATTTCTATTGTAGAAAGAATGCCCCGAGTGTGTTCAGCTGCTGTATCTGCCAAAGGTGGCGACTTTGATGAGTCAAAAGTTTAGAATACATTTTGGTCTATAAATTGATTCCGTGATTTATTTTTCAACTCAAATTGCTTATTTGTTCTGTGCTTTCATTTCAGAGTGCAATGGCACAATAAATTGAATAATTTTCAGTGAAAGACTGGAAAAAGTGTGGTGTTCTAAAACTTTTGACCGGTAGTGCATTTCAGATGAAAACATTCTACAAATATCTAGTCGTGTATCACTGAGAATAATTGCAACATAACTAAGTTATGCAAAAACAACTATTCATCAGCTGCATGGTGCATGAATAGCTGTGGCAATGGTGAACCGACAAAATGTGGGGTGGGGGACCAGATCATTAGGTGGTGTCACCAACGAAGAAAGTTGGTACCATTGGAGAAGTTCGTCTGGAGCCCTGCTACATACATTTTGGTTATGCATGCACAATTTTTGTACATAGAATAAATAATAATCAAACGCAGAGACAATTAGTTAACATGTTTAGGAGTTGTTTCATTTATACACTCACTACAGTCTCATGCAATTACAACTGGTCCTTTGAGGGCAAACATAATGCTTATGTGGCCCGGGATGAAAATGAGTTTGGCACCTCTGATTTAGACCAATCAAAAACCAACACAGACCGACAAAGACCAACACAGACTAACACAAACTAACATAAACCAACACAAACTAACGTACACCAACACAGACTAACACAAACCAACAAAGACCAACACAGTGAGTCACATTTAACAACACTGTTTAAAGGTTAAAGCTGGTTTTCTCCAAAGTTCCCTTTTCTGTGCAGGAAGTTTATTAAAGTTTGTGTATTCTGATTGGATTATTGTTTGTGTTTGATTCCACAGAGTTCTGTACTGTTACATCTCCCAGTCCTACAGGTAACGCACAGTAACACACAGAACCTTTTGACACTTCATTTCATAATTCTGACTTTTATTTCACATTTGCAACTATTTATCTTGTAATTCAGAGTTTTTATTTCATAATTCCACAATATGATGCACTATCATGATTTTTGACTTTTAGCTCATAAATGTGACTTTTTGTCCTTTAATTTTGACTCACTATTTAATAATTCTGACTTTTTGTCTCAGAAGTTTCATTTCAGAAACTACACATAAAACTAGTGAAAACCGCCACAAAGACCCATAAAACGACTCAAACGAGACACAAATTGATACAAAACAAGATAAACTAGACATAAAATGACCACAAAAAGACACAAAAGCTCCCCCACTGACCACACCGAATATTTGGATATCCGTCATTAATTGGGCTCAAATATCCTGAGCCCGGAAATAGCTATTCGGACCAGCCTTAAAAGATACACAAGAGAAACAAGCTTGGCATTCACAGAGTTTTTTGGGATTTAGTCAGACAATGAGAATAAAGGTTCATGTTTTCCATCTGTACCTGCCTATTTTATGTAATCTTTATTTAACCAGGTGTGTCCCATTGAGATTGACGTCTCTTTTACAAGGGAGCCCTGGCCAAGAGGGCAGCAACAAGAGTTACAACAATGTATTGTTATTGTTTTGAGTGGAAGCTGAAAAATTAACAAGCAACATTCTAATTTGAAAGTCAAAGTGACTCAGCTGATTCGTGAAATGACTTCTCTTACATTGAGTCCGGAGCTAAACCAACACCCCGGAGATGTAACACAAACAAGCTAAACACAGACAAAGACATGCAAAACTACCAGAATGTGATATAAAACAACCTCAAAATGACACAAAGAGATGTAAAATCCCTGCAATGACAGCTCAAGTGAGACATAAAATGTCCAAAATGGGTCAAAAAACAACAACGAAAACTTTACAAACTACTAAAATGTGACACGAAACGACTCCGTAGAGATTCAAAATAGTCTAAATGAGACACAAGAAGATCGAATTAAATGCAAACAGCTGCAAAGAAAAGCAAAAAAAGAAAAAATCAACTACATTTAACAGATGCGGAACAAGCAGAAATGTGATACGAAATGGCTTTAAAAAAGCTAAATGAGACGCAAAAGGACAGACCTGAAAGAGACGCAAACAAATCAACAACAGTGAATAATAAAGAAGAGAAACGCAGCATGAATATTTCAGCTGGAAGCTAAGAGACGGCAGGAAATGTGACCCAGATGGATATGCAAACTTCTCGGTCAAGCCTAGTATCATGTATTATGACTAACACACATGCAAAGGTTTGTTTGTGATTGTCACACAACAAAAACAGTTCATCGAAATGAAATTGTGCTTTTTTCCATGAACATTTGACAGATTCAAGTCTAGTTTCTGTTTATCTGCTGTATGCATACTGCTTATTGTTTCTGAGGTTCGCAGCAGAACAAACTGAAATATTTGTGTGCTGACAGTGGTGGTGAAAGAATTCCCACAAAGGATCTGGAAGCATTTATCCAATTGAATCATTAACTCAGAGCTATGGTGGCTGTGAATGCTCAGTGCTGCTGCGTCATGTCGCTGTGAAACAAACTCAGGCTGTTTGGTTGTTGTTGCTGCAGAACGACCAAAATCTGCAATTCTACACTTTCCATTTAGCTTTTATCTGAGAGCAGATGCAACACAAGCAGGGATCTAGATCGAGGAGAAAACAACCTGGAGAAGTGATATCGAACAAGTTCAAGTGCGCTGGGGTGTTGATGCCAATAGCAGGCTTTGTGGGAGGTGATAGGAATTTGGTGCAAAGGTGTTTGGTAACTCGTTCCACCGACATGGAACCACAAAGGAGAAGAGTCTAGCTATCAGCTTCTGGCCCTGCTGTGGTGGTGTCAGGCGGCTTTTGTTGGTCGAGCGGGAGGGAGTGTAGACCCGAATGAGAGGGTTCAGGTAGGAGGGAGCTGTTCTCATTGTGGTTTTGTAAGTAAATGTCACAGTTTTGAATTTGATGCGGGCAGCAATTGGAAGCCAGTAAAGCGATCTGAACAGCGGGGTGACGTGTGCTGCTGCATTCTGGATCATCAGCAGAGGTTTGACCGTGGATGCGAGGAGGCCTGCCAGTAAAATCTAACACAAAACGGCCGTAAATACACTTTAAATTGCTGCAAAGTGATGTGAAATTGAATGCAAACGACCACAAAACAACTGTAAAGCTGCAAAAAATTAACCAAACGGAAGAAAACAATAATTAAAAGGTACAAAATGGCTGAAAGGTGACTCAAAACAACCTCACAGAGATGCAAAATTATCTAAATGAGACGTACAAATGACCAAATTCAAACAACCACAATGAAAAACAAAAGATAGAAAAAAATGACTCTGAGACACAAAATGTGACACATAATGGAGAAAAACCTAAAATACAGTTGAAACCAGAGGTTTACATACTTCTGACTTTGAGAAAGTAATAAAAAAAATCAAAAAAAAATTCCTTCTCTCATTATTCTGGCGTTTAGCAAATAGAAATAATGTTGGTAATCCTAACTGACCTAAAACAGGAAAAGTTTAGTCACATTTAATGTCAGACAGTGAGAAAAAAAAAAGGTTTTATGGCTTTTTATACAGTGTATGTAAACTTCTGGTTTCAACTGTAAATGTAAAGAAAAACAAAACAAGAGAAATTAGATTTTTTTTTAAAAATGCCCAAATCAAATACAAAAACACACACAAAGGAAAAATAAAGCAGCAGAACGACAAAAATGAGACACGAAACAGAAGAAATGAGCTGCTTCTGATCGATTATCGGGATGATCAATAATCCATCGCCTGTCCGTCTGTTTGCAGAGTGGTTCTGTCCTTCGAGGAGAGGTTCAAAGCTTCAGACAAGGAAGCGAGGTAGGTCGCACCTGGAGCACTGATCGACCAATCAGAGGCCATCTACTCACACACCTGAATCAGACTCTTTCTTCACGGGTTCAGTTTGTTATTTGGGGGGGAAAACGAAGTTCTGTTAAATACTGTGGCTGAAGAGTCTTTTATTGAGGGTGATGACAGAAGAATTCTCATGTCTGAGAACATCTGATTCTCCAAATTCGGCCATGTAATGACTTGAGCGTCTGTTTTTCAACTCCAACAGTAACTGAAACTTTAAGGTCCGGTACTGGGCGCAGATAAGCTTGAAGGCTATATTTCCTTAAGTCCTTCACATGTTTGTTTTCTTTGAGTTATGTCTGAACTCTCTGATGAATTGCGTGATCGAAGCTCACCTGGGGGAGTGTTGTGTGTTCATGGTGGAGACGGGTTCAAGTGGCTTATCTCTGAGTCAACAGGTGCGATAAAACAATAGGTGTGTTTGACCTGTTCGACAGTCCAAATCGTAGATACTCAGGTTACCTGAGTCAGGTAACAGCAGGAAGGTCTGAGCAGATTGTTGAAGCCCGGAGTTTAGGACGTTTTACATCTTTTGTGGTCGTTTTGTTGTTTTTACGTCTTTTTTTGTTTGTTTTCGGCAGTTAATTATATTCGCCTGATGTCATTTTGGCGGTTTTACATCTTGTTCTTGTTTTGTGTCTAATTTTCATAATGTTACAGCTTTAGTGGCTGTTTTGCATCATAAGTTGCCACACTCTAAAAGGTAGTACCTGTGCTTAGTTGAATCACATTAGTGTACTTCACTTATTTCTCATTGTCCTGTTCATTTAACTCATGGACTCGTTTTTCCTTAAAGAGTTATAAAACTAACTACACTTGAGCAAACTGGACTTGAAACGTTCTGTTCCTGGACTGAACACAGTGAAGTTTCCACAAACATAACAGGGCGGCTGTGGCTCAGGTGGTAGAGCAGGTCGGTCAGTGATTGGAAGGTTGGCGGTTCGGTTACTAGACTAGACTAGACTAGACTAGACTAGACTAGACTAGAATAGAATAGAACTTTATTGATCCCTTTGGTGGAAACCTCAGGGAAACTGCTGATATCGTTTGTTATGTTAAATTTTGCCCTTTTTTGGTTATTTTACGTCACATTCTGGTTACTTTATATCTGCTTGTGGTTGTTTGCATTAATTTTCTTGTTTTGACTCATTAATTTTGAGCATTGGGTCCGACGGGGCCGGAGTGAGAAGGTTGAGCTATTCGAGTCCAGCCCTCATGTTGTTGTTGGTTATGTTAAGTTTTGGCCTTTTCTGGTCGTTTTACGTCTGTTTGTGGTTGTTTTACGTCACATTCTGGTTACTTTATGTCTTTTTGTGGTTGTTTGCGGTAATGTTCTTGTTTTGACTCATTAGTTTTACATGTTTTTGTGGTTGGTTGTGTGTACTTTTTTTGGTCGTTTTATATTTTTCGTAGTCATTTGCATTTGATTTTAGTCTGTTTGTGTCTCGTTTTGGTCATTTTACAGCTTTAGTGGCTGTTATGCGACAGAAGTTGCCAGTTTTTTTGTGTTTTTTTTTGTGTCTTTCTGTCGTCATTTCAATTTAGTTGCTGTTATTGTTTTATATCTTGTTCTTGGTTATGTTAAATTTTGGCCTTTTCTGGTCATTTTACATAATTTTATGGTTGTTTTACGTCACATTCTGGTTACTTTATGTCTTTTTGTGGTTGTTTGCATGTAGTTTTCTTGTTTTGTCTCTTTTTGCTTCTTTTGTATCTTTTTTTTGTCCTTTGCATTCAATTGTGGTCTTTTTGCGTTTCATTTTGGTTGGTTTGCAGCATTTGTGGTGTTTTTTTGTCAGTCAGATGACAATTCACACTAATGGCAAACTTTAAAAGTTGTTGTATTAATAGACAGAGTTGTTTGTGCAATAATATAGTGACATGAGTAACTTCATACAAATCAAAGTGTAAATGGATAGAAAGACGATTAAGTGGTTTTATTCTGAAAATGTTGAATTAAACTGCAGCTGATCGATAAATAATATTTTCCATCCACATGGAAGAAGTACAGAGAAAAGTGCAGATAACTTCTAAGCTTCGAAGCAGAAACACAGTTTAATGTTGATTTAATCTGTTTCAGTCTGAAGCTGCGCAAAGACGTTCTTATCTAAACTTTAAATCAAATCCCTGAAGTCACAAAAACACACAAGTCGTCGACAAAATGAAATCTATTGTTATTTCCGTTGGTTGTCAGTGAATGTTTTACTTCTAACATGTGTCTGTGTTGTGTTGTTGTGCAGACCACCTCAAGAAGTGGTTGTGACACTTTCTCGTCATGAGCTTCATCTGGTGTCTCAAGACTAGTAAGAACATTATTGTTATTGTTGTTATCGTTGTGAGTCAGAAAATCTTTATTAGGTTACATCTTGCACAAACTTATTTTAGTTTAAAAGTTCAAACAGATTCTTTACCTCTTTACTCATTGTTACTCAAATTCTGACTGAAAACAGTGAAACGCTTATTAGATGGAGCTCAGAGACACACACACACACACACACACACACACACACATATATATATAATCAAAAAATCACCCAAAATATCAAAGTGTACACCTGCTGGTTTAAATCTCTGTTCATGTGTTGTATTTATTCTGTTATTTATGTCAAATCTACATTTTAAAGAACTGTCGCATTAATGTGGAGGAGAAAGCAACACCGCATTAAAATACTCAAATAAAGTAACTCCAAGTGGTTTTTATGTACAGTAGTTCAGTAAGTGTACTTTGGTACTTCCAGCTCTGACAGTCAGGGTTCAGTCTGTAGCTGGAAGTGTGTGAAGGCTGCCACCTGCTGGTCAGGAGCAGCAACAGTTTCACCTGGTTTCTGCTTCTGCACCAAACATCCATCCATCCATTATCTATACACCATGTAATCATCTGTAAATGTAAAAAAAAAAAAAGAACAGAGTGAAGAACAAAAGGCAGGCTCAGTATCAGACCTCACATCAAACACCTGAAGAAGAAATACAGAGTGATTCTTTAACCGTCTGAATCCCAGAACCTGTCTGCAGTTTTGAAAATCTTTAAGAAATCTCCAAAGTTACACCATGTATCAGGTAGAAACTGTAATAAAATAGAGCTATCAGAACGTGTCATCTGTGATGTGTTTCCATAAGAAAAATTAACCAAATCTGAGCCTAAAATCATTATAATCCCACAAAATCTCTTTAGTCTACACGTCTCATTTAAAGAATCCACAAAAATAAAGTGTCTGCAGCAGGTTCTTCCCTTCTTCTTCCAAAAGACTGTTCCTGACAAAATGACCAAAGAGACAAAACTGTCATATACAAATGTGAAGCGACATAAACAAAACAGAAAAATGGCACCCGGTCGAGAAAAATGAGACGGAAAATGACAAAGGAGACAAACTGTCTCTCAGTCTGTAGAGGCTGTAAAACTGTGAACAGTTAAACTTCTATAGTATGTGGAGATTTTTTTCCAGTGGTTATAACACCTGTGGACACTTGGAAACATGCTGGACATGCTGATTCCAAGAGTTTTCTTGTCTTTGCACTTCTTTTGTTGTAAAACATTTTTGTAATTCAGAACGGCTGTTAGAGCAACTGAAAGTCTTTTTGAAACTTTAAATTATTTTATCACTGTGTCATACTGCACAGAAAAGGGAAAAATCAGCCCACAGTGACGAAACAAGACTCCACAGTTCAGAAAAATGAGCCCTCAGTGAAATGTCCGGCTGCGCCACCTTCAGGACAAACTGCAGGTCTGACTGTTGTGTGTCTGTATGAACTGTTTAGATTATTGTTCACATTGTTCTCTGATGTTTGTGTTTCAGTTTACGGTACAAACAGCCGAGCATTGTGCAGGGGTAAGTGACCGCTGCTGCTGTTGCTGACTATTGTTGTTGTTGATTATTTGTGTTGTTGATGTTGTGTTTCTGACCACAGGCGCACCGACGTGGTGACGGTGACGCCTTGGCTCGCACCTGTTGTCTGGGAGGGAACCTTCAACCCAGGTTTACTTGACACCATCTACAGACCGAAGAACATCACTGTCGCTGTCACTGTGTTCGCTGTCGGGAAGTAAGTGAGATTTCTGTGCCTTGGTGTCCATATCAACCGGAAGGATTCTGGTTTGACCTCTGATCTTGTGCGCAGGTACATCATGTTCCTGAAAAACTTCCTGGAAACGGCCGAGCAGCACTTCTTCGTTGGTTTCAGGGTGCATTTTTACGTGTTCACTGATCGGCCAAATGAGGTGCCTCAAATCAAGATGGCCGCTGGCCGACAGGTAAACAGTCACTTATGCAGTCGACAGCAGCACCTCTAGATGTTCATTAACCCCTCTTTGTCCTCCAGGTGACGGTGATGTCGGTGCCTAGTTCCAACCGTTGGCAGGAGATCTCTGCTCGCAGGATGGAGATTATCCAGACGCTGATCGAGCAGAAACTTGAAAACTACTGTGACTACATCTTCTGCCTGGATGTCGACTCCAAGTTTCACGGTCGCTGGGGAACCGAGTCACTGGGCGGACTGGTGGCTGTGATCCATCCAGGTCAGTGGATGTTCTCCTCAGAGCTCCATTCAAAGCAAATGCAGTTCTTTTTGGGTCCTTGAGATGCTTCACATTTGTCCTCATCCAATCAGATGATTTGGACTGTGTGACATCACTCCTTCTTGTATCTGCAGGTTACTATAGAGATGAGCGCAGCAGGTTCCCCTATGAGCGAAGACCCGCCTCCAGAGCCTACGTGGCTCATGGGGAGGGTGACTTCTACTACTGTGGGGGTGCGTTCGGAGGCCTCCTGCAGGAAGTTCACCTGCTCGCCAGAACCTGCCGCGAGAACTTTGAGGCTGACGCCAAAGTTGGCATTGAGGCGGCGTGGCAAGAGGAGAGTCACCTGAACAGGTAGGTGGTCAGTGGACAGGTTCTGACCCTCGTTGTGTTCTGTAATGACCTCTGTCTCTGTGGTCAGGTACATGTGGATCAACAAGCCCAGTAAGGTTTTGTCACCGGAGTACCTGTGGCAGGATTTTAAGTCCAGGAATTCAGAAGTCCAGATCATCAGGTTCTCTGGAGTAGTCAAGAACTATGCTGACATCCGACCTAACTGAACCAGACTTACCTGGACCAGAATCTACTGAACCAGACTCACCTGGACCGGAATCACCAGGACCAGATATACTGGCATCAGACTGACCAAATCTGAACTGACCTAGACCAGATGTACCTGGACTGATCTGGACCGGACTCACCTGGACTCACCTGGACTGGACTCACCAGGTCCAAACAAGTGAGCCTTATACATACTCACCAGGAGGAGCTGAATCAACCACAGTTCTGGACACCCCTAAACCTGGTTCACACCTGACTATATCACCTGAGCCTTACCCACGATCCACCTCAGGAAGCCCCTCTGGTCACTGCATACTCAGGACCTTTAGTTAACGCTGCATCACCTCTATTGAGCATGTGCAGTTCTCAAATTCTGGATTCACTTTAGAGGCCTTTCAATTGACTGATGCAACACGACCACGTGTTTTGAACTCAAACCAAAGTGTAAAAACTCAGGTGTCCTACATTTCATTGCTGTGCCTGAATGCACCATGCTGCAGGTGGAAATGATAATGTTAGCATGCTAACAACAACTAAGAGCTAAGTTTGTTCATATGGCTAACATAACCAATGCTAACCATCACTAACTTTTGTGTGGGGAGACAAAAGCCTTAATTCTTACAAACCAAAAAGCACTTCACAAAGATGAATCAGATACTCTGACATTAGTTTAGCTTGTTTTGCTAAGTATAACCTGTTTGGCTAAGTTTAGCCTAAAGCCAAATTTAGCCTGTATGCAGCAGAGATTTGTCTGTAGCTTTAGCTAAGTTTGATCTGTTTAGCTAGTTTTAAAGCTATGATTAGCCTGTTTAGCTTAGTTTAGCCTATTTAAGTTACTTTAGCGTGTGTTTTCTCCAAAGGTTTTTCCTCCAGTTTTACCAAAATTAGCCTGTGTGTGTCATAGATTTTTCTGTAGCTTTAGCTACTTGAAGCCTATTTAACTAACTTTTAAAGCTAAATATAACCATTTTAGCTTCAAACCAACAAACACACAATCTAGTTTGTCCTTCTAAAAGTGAACTAGCATTAGCATTTGTTATATCCCGTTGTGACACTCCTGCTGAAGATAACCAGCTCAGGAGAAAGTAACAGTCTGGCTTTAATGCGATTAAACTGCCTTTAAAACATAATAACTTGTAAAATAATAATTTAAGTAAAATTAAAATTAGTAAAAAGTCATTATTGAACTAAAACCTCTTGCACTGTGATTTTACAGTTAAAACTGGTTCACAGTTTAATTCGGAGTTTAAATTTTTGGTGGAACACACTTAAATTCAGTCAAATTTTAGAAGCACATGAAATCCACTTAGAGCTGCTCTGCTTCTAGCGGATTATTGCGAGTCTTGCTTTTCATTCTGCAGATTTGAGATGTTATTTTTGTGGAAGATTAAGCTAGGCTTAGCCTGTTAAGCTAAGTTCAGGCTGTGCGTGTTACAAATTTTACTGTAGCTTAAACTAAGTTTGGCCTGTTTATTTAAGCTTAGCATGTTTAGCTAATTTTATAAATGGTCCACACTTATACAGTGCCTTCTAATCTGAGTTCATTTTACAATTAGTGGATAACCTGCTACCACCTGAGTCATGACCACCCGTTTAGCACGTTAAGCTAAGTTTAGCCTGTGTGCAGAACAGGAAGCAGCTCAGACGTCTGATTCTGTCCTCAGTGGTCACTTCCGGTGTGTGTTGGATGGACTCATGTGAGGTTTGGTTTGTTTCATGTGGCTGTGCTGCTGCTGTTTGTGTTCAGGTGGGTCTCACTTGTCTGACAGTTTAAATCTGCTCAGGTGTGACACTCCCTGCTTTGTGCTTTTATTGTGTTTTCGTGTCAGCTGAAGATGAACTATTTAATCTGCTGCTCTCATGTAGTTGCTACTGATTTCATGAACTGTTACCAAAGAATAAAAATTTATCCAAATTTATTTATTATATAAAATCTACTCTTACAGCTGAGATATCTGAATGAGAGCTTTATGTGTCTTAGAAAAATGTTGATGTTTAACGAGCTGATTCTGTTGAAGTCTTCAAACTCACCGGATGTAGACTTCTGGTATAAACCTGTCACTGGCTGCTCTTTTCACACAGCATTCTCCTCCTCTTCCATTGTCTCTGCGCTACCGTTGTTCAAATCTACTTCACATCAGGAAACAACACATTTAAAATAGAAAGTTCTGTAGAGTATTTGGATCGTGCAGTGATGCAGCACTGCTCCTTTTTTAAAGTGAATTATCCTTGTTTATCAGCTCCCTGCTGCAAGTTTTCCACCACAATTCCACCATCACTTGACTGAAGAAACACTGTGGTTGCACCACTCTTAGTTCTGCCCACGATGAATGGGATTGGTTTAAAGAAATGAATACAAACAAGCTGATTGTTTTCCCCCCCAAAGCATTGATGATGATGAGACGATGATAAGGTTTAGTCAGACCATTCTACACAGAGTGGATAGACTGGTTTTGCACTGGTACAATCAGACCATTCTAAACAGAGCCATGTCACAGCTGTATAGAACCGTCTGACTCCTTAAGAAAAGACTTGTTCTGCAAAACCCAGTCAGATCTACCGAGGCTCCACCTCACAGCCACCAGAACATCTTGGTGCCTGCAGCAGGACACCTGCAGAGGCCTCGACCAATCAGAGAGGAGGCAGTGTGAGTCTGAGGAGTTCAAGATTTAAAAAATGATTGTATGTTAATATTTGCTAAGTGTTTGTGTTATTGACCCAGATGGAGAATGTTCTTGTGTCTTCATGAATTCAGATCTAAGCTCTGTCCTGCAGGTGGCGCTGTAGTGCTGCAACTCAGATTACAACAAACATAATTAGTTCTGCAGCGAACTTCCCATCATGCACTGTGTTTTAGACTGGATTTACACTGGTTTTAGACCAATTTTAGGTCTGGTTTCGAACTGGGTTTGAATATTATTTTGGATTTGTTTCAGGCTTTGTTGTTTCACATTTGTTTCATACTACTTAAAAAAATGTTTTGTTTTTAAAAAAAAATTTGGTTTAAATGTTTTGAACTGTGTTTAAACTGTGTTGTAAACAGGTTTTGAACTTTTCTTTTCTTTTCTTTTTTATTTTTTAACTGGGTTTAAACTTTGTCTTGGACGGCTTTCAGTCTGGTTTTGGGCTGGTTTCTCTTTGTGGATGTCACCTTAGCAAATCAGATGTTTGTAACTGCAGAGCACATGGAGGCCTGAGAAGTGATTCTGTTTGTAGTTTCTCTGTTTAATAATCTGTTATCAGTCCACAAACAACAATCAGTGCTTCCTGTTCAGCCCATCAGACTTCCTGTGACACTGAGAGCTGGAAGTCATCAGTGACCAAGTTCGTCTGAAACTAATGAAAATGTTAAATCAGATGTGAGTCCTCACTGAGAGAAAAAAAACTGTCCCCAGAGGATGGTTTGGTCTCTGCTGGTTACTGAAGAATCAATATCTGAGGTGTCTGCTGGGTTTTCGCTGATTACATTATATAAACAAATTGAAAAACTAGATCTTCACATAAAAGTATGACAGAGAAGAAATACTCTGTTACAAGTTATGCATTCGAATGTAAGTAAAAGGACAAACATATCTGCATTAAAATTTACTTTAAAAGTAAAAGTATTCATTCTGCTGGATAATGGGTATTACTGGACTATAATTATTGATTTATTGTGTTCATCATTTTAATGTTGCAGCTGCTGAGAAAAGTGATTTAACTGCATAAGCATATTTGAATGATGATGGTCAGATGTGGCGTCAGCGAGCAGAAATCCCATCAACAGTCCAGCATCTGCTGGTGAATGATGTCTGACTGTTCCTAAGTGACTCAGAACAGTCATTTTGTGTCACGATTTGGTTGTTTTATGTCTTTTTGTAGTTGTTTTGCATTGATTTTTAAAAAAATGTTTTTTGGTTGTTTTGTGCATGTTTTTGATTAAGGGAAATTTGACAAGAGCAAAAAACAGAGTTAAATAGGAATAACAGAAGCCCAACAGTGGATCCCTGAGGAATGCCTGATTTAACTCAGTTTGTTTTGTGGTGATCAGGCGTATTCATGACGTCAAAACTATCATTAACTTCATTTAAAAGACTGCAACTCAGTTGAAAAAAAACTTATTAACTTGTTTTGGTTGTTCTACATGTTTTTGTTGTTTGCATTTAATTTTTGTCATATTGTTTTATGTCTTTTTGTGTCTTTTTTCGTGTCATATTTTAGTCATTTCACATCTTTTTGTGGTCGTTTTGTATCACATTTCGTCATTGCTTAGTGAATGCTGTCTGTGAAAGACTCCGAATAGTTGGAGGACATGTTGAGGGACAAGATACCTTTTTTGTGGTTGTTTTGCATCACATTTTGGTCAGTTCACATATTTTTGTGGTTGTTTTATGTCACATTTGGGTCTTTTTTGCGTCACATTGTCACCGTTTTACGTAATTTTCTGATCATTTTTTGGTGATTTTGTATCAGCTGTGAATTGCTTCTTGGTGAATACCAGTCTTCCTGAAGGACTCTGAGGAGCTGGAGAACCTTCTTTTTTTTTCTTTTTCTTTTTTTGTTTTAAGACAGAATCACTTTTTTTGTGATCATTTTGTAGCACCTTTTGGTCATTTTCTCTTTTTTGTGATCATTTCGATCACATTTTTACATCACAAGCAGATGGGCGACTGAATCTGGATGAGGTGTGAAATTTTCTTTGTGTTTCCACACAAACAAAATCAGCATCAGACACACAAAGTTGGAAAGCTTTCATTTTGATATGTTTTCTGATGCGATGCAGGATGTTTGGTCACCAGACGCTTTAATCAGATGCTTTTTGTTGGTAACTGGTGAAGCATCTGATTGGCTATTGTGTGTGTGTGTGTGTGTGTGTGTGTGTGTGTGTGTGTTAATGCAGATAGAGATAACGTGTGCATGCTCTGATCTGTCTACTGTTGTGACGACCACTCTGTGAGGAGGACTTCTACTAGCTGGTTGATTTTAACTCTCACTTCAGTTCACAAATCATCTACTCAACAGCAGTCACTTCAATAAATTGTGGATTTTATCAATGTAAACAATGAACGATTAAAGACTGATTCCTCATTTAATGGTCCCACAACCATGTTGTGAAGCAGCAGGAAGCAGCTTCAGCTCACAATTATTTCCACTGTGGATAACTTTCTGGATGAATCAATCAGCTGTTTGGTCTCTAAAATGTCAGAAAATGGTGAAAAATGTGAATCAGCGTTTTCTCAAATGTCTTGTTTTGTAAAAAGATATTGAGTTTACTGTCAGAGGAGGAAAGAAACAAGAAAATATTCATGTTGAAGAAACTGCAAGCTGAATTAAGACTATTTTTTAATTATCAATATAGTCAGAGGTGAATTTAATCATTGATAATTAATCACGTGATCATCGGAGCCCCACAGAGCTTATTTTATTGTTATACATGTTTTTAAGAGTCAGTCTGCTGAATCGAGGGTCGATAGTTTTATTAATGAAGTTTGGTGCAGCAACACTCTGTGACTCTTCGCTGGTCTCCTGGATTAAGAAAGCGCTTAGTTTTGTTTGATAATAACACGAGAAACAACCTGACAGCTTTTATATTTACCAGTTATCAGCTCCATCTGCAGCCGTCAGCGTTGACACAGCCTCACCGAGCTGCAACAAAACACGAGCACCAGGGTCCATTCAAAAATCACACACATTTAAAACACATCAGGCAAGCTGTGAAATGTGACTTCAGGGCGTGCACGTAGCAGTGCGCGTGTGGAAATCTCACTGATTAGCTTTATTTTTAAAATCACAAAAACGAAAACCAGAGAACGGAAACTGTAACAAAGACAGGAAGCTGAGTCAATGCAAAACAAATGTGTGTGTGTGTGCACGCTCAAAGTTCAGTTCTAAGGTTGGTGAAACATGCACTTTCACACTCACATATAAAACCCGGGTGTGTAGAGAGAAAGAGAGACTCAAGGTGCCCTCGCTTGCCCAAATGTCCTACATCCATTTATGACCTTGTGTGAATGTGTGTGTGTGTGTGTTCTTATTATCGCTATCTCTGTGAGGACCCTCAGTCAGGGACAAAGCTGCAAAGATCTGTTGGATGGACCCGATAATGCATCCATTAGTGTCGGTCCCCACGAGGACAGACAGACCAAGCCTTAATAAGAGCACGTGGATGTGCATTATTATTATCATCATCATCCCTGTGTCTTTGAGGACCTGTGGCCTGATCCTCACTTTGGAACAGACTTGCAGGGACCTGTTGTACCGCCCTGTAGTGTTGGTGTGAGTCCCCACAAAAGCAGACAGACCAACATCTGTGTGTGTCTGTGAGAGACATTATTTCATTGAGGGCGAGCGAGCACAGCTGGAGAATGAGAATGAGAGGGAGAGAGAGAGAACAGTGGAGATTGAGAGAGAGAGAGAGAGAGAGAGAGAGAGTGGGGGAGGCACTGAGCGTGTGCAGATCAGTTGACCAGAAGACGGAGGCGAAGTGAGACGGAGCAGAGCGGGAATCAAACCGACGACCGGGACAAGGACTCAGTTTATCCTCATAAACAAACAAGCAAACCAACAACAAAAAAAAAACAAACGGAGTGGAGACTTCAGTGTGAAGACAAAAAGGTTTGAGTCTTTGTTTCTGCTTTGACATAAAATCTCAGTGATTCTTAAACTTCACTCAGTTATCCGAATATTTAACAGTTTAATGTCAGCAAATAACCCGATTTATTTAAAACTGATGTTGTTTTCTGTTCGTTTACCGAAGTTAAAGCATCACAGAATAGAAATACTGTAATCAGAGTATTGCAAATGTAAAACTGAACAATCTTTTTTTCTCCTTGAACAACAAGCTGCTTCTTTGTTCATGTCAAACTCAGATTAATGTTTGTTCAATGATGACAACTAAATATAAAACTTTGTTAATCCCAAGGGAACTTCTTGTGGCAGATATTGCTCAGAATGAATGAAACGCAGTGCCTATATTTATGCTTATTTAATTAAATGTATTTTTGTATTTGAGCAGGTGTCAGAACAAGTTGCTTGCAGTGAAATTAGAGAAACAGAAAATACAGTCAAAATCTGAGCAAAATGCAGTTTTTCAATATTAGCCAACATGAACAACGGTAGAGTCACAGCTGTAGGATTAAAACTGTCTCACAAATATTTGTAGCACAAAACACACAACCCAAATGTTGAGTGATTTCACTTGTGCATCATCTTAGTGGGGTCACATTTGTGTATTTGCATCAGTTTCTGTGAATTATTTTTATGTTCTTCTGAGTTGTTTCAAAGAAAATCTATAAATTCTGGTCTTTTTATGTATTTTGTATAAAGATACTCATCTGACATAAATAATATATGAGCTATAAATGTCCAATGAGTTATGAATGCTTCTGCGACAGTTTAAACCTCACAGGTCTGTTTGTTGTTTATGTTGTTTTATTTTTTATATTTTTTTTTTGGCTTTTGCCTTTGTTAGAGCAGTGGAGAGAGACAGGAAAGGGGGGAGAAGAGTGAGGGAGAGACCTGCAGCAAAGGGTCGTGAGCGGGACTCGAACTCACAACCGCTGCGTCGGGGACAGTAGCCCCTGTTCATGGGTCGCCCGCTCTACCAGGTGAGCTATACGGGCGCCGTTTATATTGTTTTTGTTGGTAAATAATGAAAAACGTTAGGGATAAAAGAACTTTATGTATTAATTTCTTTAATCCCAAAGGAGATTGTTATGCTTTTGAACTCAGCAAAACACAGTATCGTCTGTGTAGAGGAGAACGTGAATGCTGCTTAGCTACATCATTCATGTAAACATTGAATAATTCATGCGATCACACAGCTGTTGCACAGGCTCACACCTGTCCAATCACACCTACAGACGTTTATGAGCAGGTCAGAGCGCTCAGAGGTCACATGGCCTCAGAACACCAATAAGAACCCACTGGTCTGGTTTTCTGTGTTCGTCCTCAGTCTTTTCATGCAGCTGCAGTTTTGTTGTACCTGTCTCACTAACGCTCTGCTGTCGTCCTCAGGTGTGTGTCTCCATGGCGACAGGTGTGTACGTGGTGCTGAGTGTGTATGTCGGTGTGTGTGCAGCATTTAACCTCGACACGGAGTTTCCGCTGCTGAAGACAGGAACAGACGGAAGTCTGTTTGGACTCTCTGTGGCTCTGCACCAAGACATGAGGACAGACACTTACCTGTGAGTGCACACCTGCTACCTGTCTGTCTGTCTGTCTGTCTGTCTGTCTGTCTGTCTGTCTGTCTGTCTGTCTGTCACCTGTGAGTGAATCCTTAGGTGTGTCTAGGAAAATGATTAATCTGATCTCAGACTGCAGTTCTGTGCTGAACTGTTGAAAACCACATTCTGACAGATGTCACCCTATTTCTGCTTTGTTTGTTTCCTGTTTAAAACCTCAGTGATGATTTCAGCTGAACTGTGAACAACAGGAAGGAAACAGCTCAAGATCTAAAAACTCATTTGAAAAATACACGAAAACACATCAGAACCTATATAAAATCTATGGAAACATATCAGAATGTATTTATGGAATTTCAGAAACTATTCGTGAAATATCAAAAATAACAAAATCATGAAAAAAATGTCAAAAAGTACATCTAACACAAATGATTTTCATCTACAGGAACTCTGTTTAGGTGAAGATTTATATCATCCTTTCAGTCTTTGTGTTTCCACTATAGATCCAACACCTTCAACATTAACTCAGAGTGACTGGAACAAACAATTACTGGACGTAACTCCATTTTTAGGTTGGAAACAGATCAATGAAGGTTTGTTCTGTAAGACTATATAGAGAACTTTATGTTGTTGATGATGATGTTAGAGAGGAGAAGAAAGAAAAGAAGAAAACATGCCATCCTCTTTGAGTTTAACCAATCAGCACTGAGCTGCTCAGAAGTTCTTCTGTTGTTCCTGAAGCTGTTTGATGTTCTCCTCCATCTTTATGATGTTCTGCTGGTTGAGAGAGATGCTGCTTCCATCAGATCAAACACACTGAAACACTTCAAACCCTGTTACACATCAGGAATTCACAGTCAGGTGGATCCTCTGCAGTGTTAATAATGTGGCTACATCCTCCTAAAGTCTGGAAAATATCAGAACAGAAGCAGGATGATGATGATGGTGGGCCCCGAGAGTCTGCTAAAAGTCCTTTTACGAGGTATTCAGGTACTTGAGGAGTTCAGGAGGTCCTTGAAAAAGTTAAGCCAGTGCTTGTGATCCTTGAGGATTCTGTGTTGTTGCTGTAACATATTTAAAAGCTAAATTAAGTGTTACATTCCTGCTCTGCTACCTAATAAACTACATGTATGTCAGTGCGGCGTTTATCTCATATGTTGGCGTCAGTGAATCAGACGCTGACAGGTCACGTGGTACCGCAGCTTCTTCTTCTCTGGTTTCTAAGCTGATCTAATGAGTCACAGAATCCAAACACACAAAACAGCAGCATTGAGAAAAAAACCTGTGGAGCTGTCTGTGAAAGAAATTTATATAAAGACTATATGAGAAATTCAGGCCCTAAAGTAGAAACTCAAAGTAACCAAAGTGAATCCAGCTGTGCTCATTGAAACTAAACTCTGTCCACCTGTGATTTCCAGTCAGTCTAACTGCATAAACATGGTTTTAAAATGAGCCGTGAACAGCAGAACCGTCTCAGTTTTGGACCTATGGGCTGTGTCTATCTGCATGTCTGCATCATGGCTCCACATGGAAAAGAATTGAACAGAGGAACTGAAAAATCTGACTGTGAGACTTCACAAAGATGGAAAAGGATCCACGAAGACCAGTGAGCAACCAAAAATCAGTGAAAGCAGTAATCAGGAGGTACAGAAGGAGCCATAGTGCTACTAATCAGAGCTGCAATGGTGGTCCTCCAAACCATTCCAAGAACAAGATCACACAAGAGGTTCTTCACAAAATGAAAGTGAAAACAAGAATGTCCAAAATTACTAAAAATCTTTTCAAAAATAAATTGAATTTTGTCTATTTTTTTTTAAACTGTCCGAAATTACTTGAAACTTTCCCAAACATGCCCAAAATACCTTGAAATCTGTCAAACATTATTTGAAATGTGCATCAAGTGACTCGAACTTCATCCCAAACAAGTTCAAAATGGAAAAAATTTGCCTGAAATTTTTGTAAATTGTCTCAGATTTTGTCCTAAATTAATTAAAACTGGTAAAGAACTGTTCCAATATGATCCGGCCGGACACATTTGTTTACCTGACTTAAGTCCAGCAAAACACTGCATCCTATTACTTTAAAGTCTGTCAGCAGAATGAAAATGCTAAGTGGGCGGAGCCTCACTAAAGTCACTCAGAGGTTGCCCAGCTGTCTGTCTCTGCTGTCACCATGACGACCGTCTCTAATGTGGTTTCCTCTGAGAGCTCTGGGGTTAAGAGGTCAATGTCTCCTCTGATTGGCTTAAAGTCCCGCCCATGAGACGGCTGCTGCACTCTGATTGGTTGAACAAACAGATCAATAATTAGATTTAGCAGCTTTTATGGGTCCTTGAGGCTTCCAGGAGACTTTGTGGGGAAAAGTCATGGATCCTTCAGAAATCTCTTCAGCTGGAACATCTTTAGGAATTTCTAAGAGTCCGGACAATAAAGGGGTCATTGAATAACCTGTAGGGGTCCTTGAGAAAGTCCTGCAGGAGTCATTGATTAGTTTCCAGGACTCTATGGGTGAGTTCCAGAGGTCCTTAAGAAGAGTTCAGGTGCTATTGAGAAGGGCTTTTTTGACGTAGGCACTGTGGAAGTTATGGGGGTCACTGAGGAATCTAACAGTCCTTGAGAAAGTTCTACACACCTTGAAGGGCTTCCAAGAGTCCACAAGGGATCTTTGAGTAAATTGTAGGGGTCCTTGAGGATGTTTCAGGATGACTTCGAAAAATCAGAATGTGAAGGTTTCAGGATGAATAGATGTGTCAGGACTGTCAGAATGTTTTCAGGTTTTAAGAAGCCTTGAGTGAGTTCCAGGTATTCAAGGAATCTCTGCATGGCACCTCTGTCGTGTGACACCGGTGACATCACCATCACCGCGGTAACACACCTGAGATCAGATCAGAGGTCACAGACAGGTCACAGACAGGTCGAACACAGGAAATGAAGCTCAGACACACACACACACACCTACACACACACACACACACACACACACACACACACACTTACACACACGAGTCTTCACGTCTCTGTCAGGACCATTAGTTCTGTAATTTGACCTCAGGTCCCTCAAACAAAGTCTGAAAAACCGACACCAGTCCTCACACACACACACACACACACACACACACACACACACACACACACACACACATTTCTGAGGACTTTCCACCGACCTTCAGCGAGAAACATTTAATGATTTATGGGGACCTGCTGTTTTTGTCGCCAAAAGGATATCGAGTCCTGACAAAGTGAGGGTGTCCCGCTATCGTCAGTAAAACAGAAACATGAAGTCTGTTTCCTTTAAATAAATTCATCTGTTGAAACACTGATTGTTCCAGTGTTTCCAGTTCATCAGAGTCCATAACCCATTCACCTCAGACCAGTTTTCACCAGAACAGTTTACCTCAGACCAGTCATGTGACTTCAGCTGCTCAGGAGGAGACGTCCTTCGTCTGTCATTGTGTCTGTGTGTATCTGTGTCTGTGTGCTCTTTGTGCTCTTTAGACTCAGACGTCTTAATTATTCCACGACTGCAACACAAAGAAAAGTCAAATACAGAGACATTACACCGACAGTGGGTCCTTTGAAGATCTCCAGGACTTTCCGGGTGTCCTTTAAGGACCTCCAGGATGAGTGTCTTGAGCTGCAGCTAACAGAACCTCTCACCTGTCTCACCTGTATCATCCTGAAAGGCTGCTGGTTGGAGCTCCCAGGGAGAAGGCGGAACCAAATGTTCCAGCCAATCGTACAGGAGGCGTGTACAGCTGCCCGATCACAGCCAACCAGTTAGACTGCAACAGGATGAAGCTCATAGATCCAGGTGAGTCACACCTGTGGAAGAGCTGCCACTGATGTACAAGGTGCAGACAAAAGGGACATTGACTGTTTGTGTTTTGTTATTTGTACACTGATTGCATCAAGATGACGAACATAAAGAAACACAAAATGACCACAATGAGACAAAAAATAACCACAAAGACAAACAAGACTTGCTCAAAACCTCCACAGAGAGACATGAAGCAAGCACAGTCACAACTTGGTTTCTTGTTATTTAATGTAGATAAATTGATCTTATTGGTTGCTGTGTAATGGCTGATGTTTATGTCAGCCAATCACATCCTGTTATTCAGGAAAGCAGAAATCCTGTACTTTTAGCTGATTGGCTGTGTGATTAGCAATGGCTAATGGTGTAACCACTGGCCGCCTGTGATGTTATCAGTGTCATGGTGCATTATAGGTAGTCCATTCCTCAGTGAGCAGTGACAGCTGCCGTCTGTTTCTACTTTATCTGTTGCTGAAAACAACACACTTTGATAGGATGATAGGTGGTCACCATGGCAACAGCCAATCACACAAGGCAATTTATAACATGGCAGTTAAAACAAAAAATGAATCACAAAACACTGCAGCTGCTGCAGACACACGCACAGTGCAGTATATACAAGACCACAAAGGCCCTGAGTCAGTTGGTTAAAACAGGTAATAGATGGCAAAAGTGTAATTAAGTAATTTAGGCAGTAAATTAAATTTAAATTCGGTCAGTTAGTGATAATTATTTTTGATAAGTAGTTCCACTCAGTGGGTGGAGCACCATCAGCCAGTAGGCGGGGCATGTATACATGGGAGGGGTCTCTGTTTATCAGTGGGAGGAGTCTTTCTCTGAGTGCATGTTGCTTACCTGTGCCACTGCTGCTGCTGTTTCAGACAGTACGTCTGAGGACCTGATTGAAGACATGTGGCTGGGAGTCTCAGTAGCCAGTCAGGGCCGACCTGGGGGGCGTGTCCTGGTGAGTCTGTGTTCTAATTGGCTTACAGAGTTATTTGATTCTAAGTCTGAATGTAGTTTAGTGCCAGCAGCTTGTTAAAGGTCAGCTCTCGGTTAACTGTGATGGAAGCTAACTGAACATAAACCAACCTGTCTGACTAACAAGTTAACTGTAGCGAGTAAAACTTAGTTACCTTTTACCTGTAACTACTTAGCCTTCGGTAGTCAACAAATAGATTAACTATTTAACAATAGGTAGTTTACATACTACTTCTACTAACTACTTAACAACCAATGATTAAGCATTACTACTGCTAACAGAATAACTATTATGTTAACTGTAGCAAGTTAAGGAACTGATAGATTAACAAACTGTAACTAGTTAACTGAGTGACTAACAGATCACTAACAACTAAATATGGAACTGTAGCTAATGAACTGACTGCACGACTAGCTAACAAACTAACTAGCAAAATGTAGTTAGTTAACTAACTCACCAACCGATTAACTAATAGTTACATATAACTAGCTAACTAACATATTAACTAAATAATGGACTAATAGATGAACTAATAGATGTAACTGGTCAACTAACTGATGAATAGATTAACTAGTAAACTAATACATTATCATGTTGCTTGTAGCAAGCTAACTGACTAACAGGTTGACTAATTATATGTAACTAGATAACTAACTGAATAACAGAATAACTGACAAACTAGCTAGTTAACTGTAGCTAGTTAACAGACTAACTAACTAACCCTGTCTCCCATCCATGCAGGCATGTGGTCATCGGTTTGTTAAACTTTATGGAGCATTTAAGCTCAGGCACATGATTGGCCGATGTTTTCTCCGAGGAAACGACCTACAGTCCGATAACACCGATTTCCACTGGAAAAACCTGGGCCAGGCCTGCAGGTAGGTCACATGACACACAACTGACACCTGATGACTTGACGAAGTGTTTCGCCGCCTCCTCACTCGCTCTGTGTGTTCAGTCACCTGAGTGATGTCACCGGTGAGGTCATGTGTAACATGGGGATTTCAGCCTCCATCACCCAGACGGAGGTCGTTGTCGGCTCACCTGGAAGCTACGAATGGCAAGGTGACGTTCTACTCTGTTTTTGATTTTTATTTACTCTATTTGTTGACTTGTTGACTCAAATTCAGAAAAAAAAATTGCTTCAGCTGAATATTTCAATTTGTGTGTGTCTGCATGTGTGTTTGTGTGTTGCAGGAAACGTCCACGTCTCCTGGATGAACCCTGACAATGAGTATGACACCAAAAGAAGCTCCTTCTCCAACCTGGATCGCAGAAACATTTATATAGGTGCACTTTCCCTTTAAATCACATTCTGAAATGAACTCACACACATCAAACATGTTTGTTCAAACTAAGTGAGCAGATCGTCACCTGTAATATGTCTCAAAGCATTTGTTTTTAGTTCCTTCAGTATCCTAGTGATCAGTGAAACACTCAGACAGCAGTTGCTCCCAGTGAATTCTGCTGTTTGAAGTGTGAATAGATGGAGGATAAAATCTAATCTGTGTTTTCAGGATATTCAGTCACTCAGGCTCATCGTCTTCTCTCTCAGGATAATGAAACCATCGTAACAGGTAACCGCTTCACTTTCATCCTTCTATGAACAGTCCACTCAGTGACAAGTGGACAGACTTATTGACTGATGTATTGATTGATGTGTTGATTGCTAATAAACAGGAGCTCCAAAGGACAGTAAAGAGGACGCTCGTGGCTCGGTGCTGCTGGCGGTCCAACGTTCTGGTGAACTGGTGATCCAACAGACGCTCCGCGGCCAGCAGACGGGCTCATACTTCGGTAACGCCGTGGCGACCACCGACCTCAACAACGACGGGTAGGAAGACTTTACAGGTCACATGACTAATGTTGGCTACAGCATCAACACAAAGACAAAATAGAAATAATTCTGATTTTTACCTGCTTTGTACTGTTAAGTATTAATTTAACTCATGTTGGTGAGTTCACCCCACATATAGGCACATTTTATTTATTCTCAGCTAACTGCAATAAACATTAACAAAAACCAACCCATTGGACTGTTTCTGTTTGAACAGACTGAACTAAGTCTTGGAAGAGTCACAGTTTTCTAAATGTTTACTCTGATCTTCATTATATTCCAGTTTGTTGAACTAACCCATTAATTAACTGGGCGACGGATTGTGACTACCTGACTAACTGGATAATTACCAGTCAGACCATTGTTGATATGACTGGGTCACTGTAACTAGTTAATTGACTAACTTACTGACATTAGGTTTGCTAACTAACAGACTAAGTAATGATTAATTAACTAAGTAAGTGTCTGACTGAATTGTCAATTGTAAGTACAAAAATACCTAATTAGTTAACTGTAACTAGTTAACTGAATAACTAGTTAACTGTACCTACTTGACTAGCTACCTCAGTAACTGATGGACTGACTAATGGATTAACTAAATAGTCAAACTAAGTGTTGGCTTTCTTTTTAAAACATAAGAACTATTTGCTCTGTAAATGACTAGTTCATTAAGTGAAATAGTTAACTTTGATGAGCGTATTTGATGTATTTCATTAGTTCAGTTTGGTGTCATGGTGTAGAAAGGCACAAATTCTAGAAATTAGTTTTTAATTTGAAGAGAAAATGTGACCAAGATTCAGATTCAGATTCAGATTCAGGCTCAGATTCCGTTTTAGGATTCAGTCCCAATTCCTTTTCAGATACAGTTTGAGATTCAGTTTGACATTGAATCTCAGAGTCAGTCTCAAATTCTGTTTCAGATTCAGTTTAAGCTTTAAGATTCAGATTAAGTTTTAGTCTCAAATTGTGTCCTGCAGGTGGAACGACCTGCTGGTTGGCGCTCCTTTCTTTTTTCAGCGACATCAGGAGGCGGGCGGGGCCGTTTACGTCTACATGAATGTAGGAGGGATGTTTGATTCTAGACCCAGCGTGGTGCTGAGGGGTCCGGCTGGGTCAGCCTTTGGTATGGCTGTTATTGCAGCTGGAGACCTGAACCAGGACGGCTTCCAGGGTGAGGATGAGACATCACAATATTCAGTATTAATTGTCAATAATTAAGAACCAATTATTGGTTCAAAACCAAGTATGATGAAGCAATACATCTACATTCTTTTATGTTTAAATTTTGTCATTATTAATCTGCATAAAGTAGAGTGTATGTTCTTTTCACAGTAATATATATATATATATATATTTTAGTGAGTTAATGTAAAACTAAACTAAAGCGACATATTTTTTTTCCAGACTTTGCAGTCGGAGCTCCTTTCCATGAAACAGGAAGTGTGATGATCTGGACCGGGAGCAGTAAGGGCATCTCTGCAGAGCCGAGCCAGGTCTCACTGTCTTTCTATAGAAATGTCTGCAAAATGTCCTCACAGTGCAGAAATGTCCTCGCAGTGATGGTTTTCAGCTGGATCTAGTCCTGACACAGACACTTGAGTTTAACAGTAAGTGTGCAGGTGCATCTGTGACTCCGCCACCTGTCTCCACACAGGTGATCCACGGTAGCAGCGTGTCTCCAAGGTTCAGAACGTTCGGGTACTCCCTGTCTGCAGGTGGAGATGTCGATGGGAACAAATATCCAGACCTTCTGGTCGGATCTTTGGATGACACTGTCGCTCTGCTCAGGTACGCCTTTCTGTACTGTAACAGTACTGAGGTAGAGTTTAAAGTACTTGTACTTTACAGTTTTTCCTGTGTTACACTGCTCATTGATTGATTGATTGATTGATTGATTGATTGATTGATTGATTCCTCAGATCTCGTCCAGTTGTCCACCTAAATAAAACTCTGAGAGTTTCTCCTGACATTGTTGACCCAAACAGCTGCGACTACTGGTAAGACTCCAAACTAAACCTTGCTAACAACATGCTGACAGCCAAAAAGTCAAACAGCTACAACATGGCCTACATGCTGTCAGTTTAACATGCTAACAGATTGACTCTCAGTGTTCAGGTG